TTTGTTGTGTTGTCCCTAATGTTTCTTGTATTGTCTCACCTGAAAATAAAATAAAGAATATTGAAAGAGAATTAGAAGAGTTCCCCTGAAATTAGCTGTAACGATCATGGTCATACAGTCACTGAGTTACTTCATCTCTGCATCATGGACCTTGTGATTTCTCAGTCTGAAACAATTACAGACATTGACCCTCTTGTTTAGTGTATGGTATCTTGCATTGACTAGTAAGGATTACACCTTTTAATGTGCATAGGCTTGTAAAATCATTCAACCCCCTCGAAACTTATCAGACTGTCTGGATAACCAATTATACATTTATATTTCATTTAAAAAAGACTGAGCCTCTAAATTAGGTATTTCTAATTGACATTAGTTTTGAATTATAAGAAAAATAATAACTAAAATATGCTGTTTGCATACTGTAAGTATGTAACCCCTGCGCTTTGGAAGCTACAAGTTTGAAACAACTGAAAAATATTGTCCTAACAAGGACACTGTAGTTTTAACAATGGACCTCACCTGTGAACACTTTAGAATATTTCACATGTTCTGGAACCCATTTCAGATACCACCAGCTCAGTATCTGAAGGAGAGATGTGAAAATGAAACTAAAGAGCAACCTAGGGAGGTTAGAGATAAAGTAACAGACATGCATACATTAGAGAAGGGTATAAAATACTATCCAAGTGGTTGGATATCCCTGTGCACATTGTTGGATGAATAGTGAGGAAGTGGAAGCTGCAGTACACCACCCAGCAGCACCTAGACAAGACCGTCCCTCAAACTCAGCGTCTGAACAAGAAGGAGACTAGTGAGGGAGCCACAGAGGCAACAATCACAGAGGGAGAGCATCCTTCAGAGGCTGAGAGAGGAGTGAAGGAGCACCAGTCATCCATCTCACAGGTAGAGGTACGTAGAGGTACAGAAGGCCCAGGATCCCTGCCCTTTTGTTTTAAACAGTGCAGATGTGTTAAAAGGGTCAACCCACACAAGGCTCCTGGACCTGATGGCATCCCTGGCCGTGTTCTCAGGGTGTGTGCAGTTCAGCTGGCAGAGGTGTTCACAGACATCTTCAACAGGTCACTGCTGCAGTCTGTAGTCCCCACATGCTTCAAACACTCCACCATCGTTCCTGTCCCCAAAAAGACAATAATCACCAGCCCCAACGACTACCGCCCAGTAGCACTCACCTCCATCATAATGAAGTGCTTTGAGCGGTTAGTCAAATCATTCATCACCTCCTCCCTCCCTGACTCTCTGGACCCCCTGCAGTTTGCCTACAGAGCAAACAGGTCCACAGACGACGCCATAGCCCTCACCATCCACACTGCCCTCTCACACCTGGACCAGAGGAACACATATGTGAGAATGCTGTTCATCGACTACAGTTCAGCTTTCAATACCATTGTGCCCTCCAAGCTGGCCATCAAGCTCAGAGACCTCGGGCTCAACAGCGCCCTCTGTGACTGGATCCTGAACTTCCTGACGGGCAGACCCCAGGCAGTGCGGGTGGGAAACATCACATCCTCCACCCTGATCCTTAACACCGGTGCCCCTCAAGGCTGCGTGCTCAGCCCTCTCCTCTACTCCCTGTTCACTCACGACTGCGTGGCCACACACAGCTCCAACACCATCATGAAGTTTGCTGACGACACGACCGTTCCTCGGTGTCCACATCACTGAGGACCTGACATGGACTCATCACACCATCACCAAAACAGCTCGACAGCGGCTCTTCTTCCTCCGCAGGCTGAGGAGGTTCAACATGGACTCCAGGATACTCTGCAACTTCTACAGGTGCACCATAGAGAGCATCCTGACCTTCTACAGGTGCACTATAGAGAGCATCCTGACCTTCTACAGGTGCACCATAGAGAGCATCCTGACCTTCTACAGGTGCACTATAGAGAGCATCCTGACCTTCTACAGGTGCACCATAGAGAGCATCCTGACCTTCTACAGGTGCACCATAGAGAGGAGCCTGACCTTCTACAGGTGCACCATAGAGAGTATCCTGACCTTCTACAGGTGCACCATAGAGAGGGTCCTGACCTTCTACAGGTGCACCATAGAGAGCATCCTGACCTTCTACAGGTGCACCATAGAGAGGAGCCTGACCTTCTACAGGTGCACCATAGAGAGCATCCTGACCTTCTACAGGTGCACCATAGAGAGGAGCCTGACCTACTACAGGTGCACCATAGAGAGCATCCTGACCTTCTACAGGTGCACCATAGAGAGGAGCCTGACCTACTACAGGTGCACCATAGAGAGCATCCTGACCTTCTACAGGTGCACCATAGAGAGCATCCTGACCTTCTACAGGTGCACCATAGAGAGGAGCCTGACCTACTACAGGTGCACCATAGAGAGGATCCTGACCTTCTACAGGTGCACCATAGAGAGGATCCTGACCTTCTACAGGTACACCATTTTTTCTGACAATTTCAGGATCCAAAGCACAAGACCCAAGCAACACAGGAGAGTTTTAACAACAAAAAGGTTAATTTACTACAGTGGTCAAGTGATCTCAATCCTTTCTCTGGCACTGTTTAAAAGCTGGGGTCCAACCTGGAGCAGATTTGCCAGAAGAACGGTCAGAAATCCCTCTGAACACTGTGTTAGATGGGACTAATCCACAAAGACTTCAGGCTATTATTGAAGCAAAATATGTCTCTCCCAATTTCTAATGTGTAGGGGTTACTTATGCAGGCAGTATTTTTCCAGTGTTTATTTTCTTTAAAAGATCTGCAGATGGACAATACATTTTAGTCATGAAAATATACTGATAAAGAATATGAGTTTGCTATAAAAAGACTATCTGAAAATATTTGTATCACAAATCCAGAAACAGATAAGTTTCAGGAAGGTTGAATGCTTTTGCAAGCCACTCTATGCAACACTTGCATTCATATCATCCACTGTGTCTGGTATTGCAACTGATCAATCAAATGCCATGTGCAAATGTATCTGAGGGAACGACTGGATTTCCTCTGCTCTGACATGGGACACAGAAGGCTTCTCAATTCTCTAATTTCAACTCCTCGACTCCTTGAATCCTCGGTCCTCCGGTACTGACCCGGAAATGGATTTCAGTGCGCCATGTTGAAGGACATCTAATTTCTCTAAATGCACATCGAGGATCGAGCGTCGAGGAGGTTCTCTGGAGGAGCTATAACCGAGGATACACTGATGGGTCCTCCGGATCCTCCGCGGATGCATTTCCGGCAACAGTGATGTTTCAAAGAGTCGTGACGCACGGCCGGACTGATCTCAACCAATGACAGCTCTGCATGCATCCCCTGGATATTATTTTATTAACTGCTTTCATCGCGACGCGATGTTTACAGAGAGAACAGCTGTGAGGTCCGTGCAGAAAGCAGAGCAGTGTGTATAATATATATCACTCAGTATAACAGGCCTACTCTCTTTATTTGCTTTAGTTTAGTAGATATCTACAAACAAAGTCGATATTTTTCTAAAACCATTTAGTGCTTCACATAATAAAATACACAACGGCTATAGCCTGATTATATGCTTTAGGAGCTGTAGGTGTGTGTGTGGTACAGTGTGTAGGTGTGTGTGGTACAGTGTGTAGGTGTGTGTTGTACAGTGTGTAGGTGTGTGTGGTACAGTGTGTAGGTGTGTGTTGTACAGTGCGTAGGTGTGTGTGGTAGCCTACAGTGTGTAGGTGTGTGTGGTACAGTGTGTAGGTGTGTGTTGTACAGTGTGTAGGTGTGTGTGGTACAGTGTGTAGGTGTGTGTTGTACAGTGCGTAGGTGTGTGTGGTAGCCTACAGTGTGTAGGTGTGTGTGGTACAGTGTGTAGGTGTGTGTGGTACAGTGTGTAGGTGTGTGTGTGGTACAGTGTGTAGGTGTGTGGGTGGTACAGTGTGTAGGTGTGTGTGTGGTACAGTGTGTAGGTGTGTGTGGTACAGTGTGTAGGTGTGTGTGGTACAGTGTGTAGGTGCGTGTGGTACAGTGTGTAGGTGTGTGTTGTGTAGGTGTGTGTGTGGTACAGTGTGTAGGTGTGTGTGTGGTACAGTGTGTAGGTGTGTGTGTGGTACAGTGTGTAGGTGTGTGTGTGGTACAGTGTGTAGGTGTGTGTAGGTGCGTGTTGTACAGTGTGTAGGTGCGTGTTGTACAGTGTGTAGGTGCGTGTGGTACAGTGTGTAGGTGTGTGTGTGGTACAGTGTGTAGGTGTGTGTGTGGTACAGTGTGTAGGTGTGTGTGTGGTACAGTGTGTAGGTGTGTGGGTGGTACAGTGTGTAGGTGTGTGTGTGGTACAGTGTGTAGGTGTGTGTGTGGTACAGTGTGTAGGTGTGTGTGGTACAGTGTGTAGGTGTGTGTGTGGTACAGTGTGTAGGTGTGTGTGTGGTACAGTGTGTAGGTGTGTGTGTGGTACAGTGTGTAGGTGTGTGTGTGTGTAGATGCAGTGGACAGACAGGTCTCAGTTGGTTTGGTGTCCTATGCTTACTTTTAATACTTGTAAATACAACTTTTGGCCCGTAATTTAAATTCCCCATTTCAGCGACCAGAGAGGGGGGGGGGATATATCCAGTCTCTGATTGTGTTACGTTATTATGAGAGTGCTCTCATACTTGTTTGATTCTGAAATTGTATATATATATATAAATATATATGTGTCTGTGTGTGTGTCCGCATCTGTAGCCTGTTATTGTCTCATTATACCGCACTGTGAATGAATTCAAAGCAAATATATAAGTCGTCATGAACACATCTGTCCATCAGACAGAGGGCTGCTGTGCCTCCTGTCATCATTAATGGACGTCTCTTTAAAATGACCGCTCAGAGGAGAGGAGTTCTCATTTCTCTAACCGCCTGCTGCTTCCCCTCCTCTCTCCTCGGTTCCCCTCCTCGACTCCTCCACTCGCATCTCCTGTGGGCGGGACTAAGTCTCGAGGATAGGAGTCGAGGAGGGGAATTAGAGAATTGAGAAGCCTTCATAGACAGCAGGACTCTAAGCAGCTTATGCCTTACCCTTTAGGAGCTTGTGGCTGTTCTCTGACAGCCATACAAACAGTTTGGCAAAGTGACAGTTGCAGAGCCAGGGGTTGCCCTCCAGACGCAGCATCCTCAGGGAGGGCAGGGATTCCAGAACCACTACATCCAGAGCTGAGAGAGCGTTTCTCTGCAGCTCCAGCTCCCTCAAAGAAGTCAGCCCTGTGAAAGCATCTCTGCCCACCATGTGTAGGTATGGGTTGTTCCCCACTCGTAGTTTGATCAGACTCCTAGACTCCACAAATGTTCCAGACGAAATTTCAGTCAGGTTGTTGCTCCCCAAGTCCAAGAAGACTAATCTAGAGGAGGTGCTCAGGGTGCCTGGCTCCAGCTGGGAGAGGGAGTTATTCCTTAGGTCCAGGTAGACCAGATCGCTGTAGAGGACCAAAAAGTCCTCAGGGATCCAGGGAATCCAGTTGTTGGAAAGCAGGAGACGGCGAACATTCAGAGGGATGGAGTCTGGAACTCTGGTTAGCCCTTTCCCAGTGCAGTCCACAGTGTGGTGGTCTGGACACAAACAGCTGGAGGGACAGTTGTGGCCCCGCGTAAGCAAAATGGAAGAGATCAAGGCTAGGAAAGGCTGCAGCCAGTTAATGCATGGTATCATTGTCCAGGGGGCGGCAGCATTAAACAGCAGATGGGGGGTAAGGGGGTCCCCACAGGGGAGGTCAGGGAGACGGACAAATTGACAGGTTAAGATCACAGGAGGGGGGGGGGGCGGGGGAGAAAAGGCCAGACGATGTCAGTTCAGCGTGGCCCTGGCATCCTCAATGCTCTCTGCACTGCAAATCAAGAACACCCTGAAAAAGCATGGAGGTGCGAGCGCTGTATTCCAGGAGACCCTCTAACATTCTGGATGAAAAAGCAGCCTGCTGGCAGGGGGGAAGAGAGGGGAGGAGCAGAAGAGAGAGTGAGCAAGAGAGCAGGGAGTGGGGGCTGTTCAGAGTGGGGAGGATTAACACTGAGGTAAATATAGGCCAACCAACCAGCGGCGAGGGGCGGGGTTTGTGGGGTAAGCCATAGGGTGTGTGTGTGTGTGTGTGTGTGTGTGTGTGTGTGTGTGTGTGTGTGTGTGTGTGTGTGTGTGTGTGTGTGTGTGTGTGTGTGTGTGTGTGTGTGTGTGTGTGTGAGATGCAGTCTCCTGGAATCACCAGCGTCCCCCTCTCCTCCCTGCTTCCTCCCTCAATACTCATTCTCTTTTTATCACCTTTGCTTCACTAGCTGATGGGGATAGTAAAGAGGTGGTTTCTCACCCTATCACCATGACAACCAATCCAAATCATGTGCCAGGAGCAGGATGTGCAGACGTAGTGTGGAAGTGTTCATTTGGAGGTATGAAACACAGACATCTGTGCCACCTGATGCAATCGAGCAGAATGGCACTGCACTACGAGAAACCTTAACAAAGCGTGTCATTTCAATTCCAATAGTTTTACTTTTGTTCGAGCAGTTACATTCAATTTAAATTTAAATATAAAAGGCAACACTGTATCTATCAGAGAATGACCGACACAGGAGTTTGGAGGCAGATAACATTGTGCATATCTATATATATATATTTTATATATTTAAGAGCAAAAAAAGAAGACACATCTGAAATGGATACGAATGATATTTGATAACGTGCTTGTATGATCACAATCACACCAAGAGATACTTCATGGGGTTTAGTTCCTTTTTCCTTTTAACAATATTTACTTCATTCGTTTATTCTGTACACTTCTCTTCTTTTAACAGCATGAATGACATTGTTTTGAAGAATGAGAAAGAATGTCTGTCATGGTTCCATCTTTTTGGGTGAAATATAGAATGATAAACCTGATTTGTATATATATATAGTATTGATCTTATTTTTACTCTAAATAATGAACCACAATGAGCTCACAACTCCTGAATGGTTATTCATACAATATCAAAATGATAAACTCTAGTGAATCGCTGCTCCCTGTAAGCTACCAACCACAAACATGATGTGTCCTTGTGTTGTTGGGTTGATTCAAATCAAATGTCATCAGTTTCACACTCATCTGGTTTGAATGTTCATGTGAATGTTGTCGGTGTAAAATGAATGGATTAATAATTCTAAATCTTTCCATTTTCGGTTGCCAGTATCAAGCCAGTAACAACTAAATTGTACATAAATATCCCTAGAGTCTTACCAAATCATAGTCTCTGCGCTGAGAGAAAGAGGACAACATAAATAAATGCTCCCGCTCTGATCTCTATCGTGTGAGGAAAGTAGGTCACACCAAGCCAGCCCATAATGAAGCCGCTGTGGAGGCATCTAAAACCTGGCTCCAATTCAGTCTATGGATCAAAGTAGCATTCATCAATCTTTCCAACAAAAATAAAACAAAAAGTGTAGAAGTACCAACATGTTACTCAAGTAAAAGTAGAAAAGTATTGAACATATAGTTAAAAAAGGTGTCCTTTTGCAGGACTACTGCACAAGGACTACCACCACTATTGGTCCATTTCAGAATAATATATATGATATGTTTTATAATGATTGATCATGAAAGTGTTCTCAAAGCTGGTAAAGGTGCAGCTAGTTTGAATGACTTTGTATACTGCAGGGTAGCTTGTGAATTTACTCCAGGTGGAACTAAAGTCTGATTTAAGAGTAGATCCTATTGTTTATCATAAATCTATATATGCAAATACCATGTCCAGAAATGTAGTGGAATTATTCATTCAATTTAAGTTTTAATACACATAACTATTTAAGTAAAAATGGGTCCTACTTTTAAATTGTGTTCACTGTAATTTGGCCCATAATTGTGTTGTCAGATAGTCTTCAGATTTGTATCTTTCATGGTCAACTTGTATATATTTTACTTTTAAGTACAGTTTTGTTTTCTATATTGAGATGTTTCGATTTTATCTTTGTTTATTTTTCTGCTGCAGTAATGACGAACAAAATCCCAATTTGGGGTCATTAAAGTATATCTTAAAAACTAACCATGAAAAGTTCAGTTTGATTTGTGTAAATATGAAACCTTCAGTCTGATGCTCTACTTCCCTCTTGTGTCCAAACATTCCATCACAGCGCAAAGCGGGATCCAGGTGGATGCATGTCCCTGTTCACTGGGACTCTCTGGAGATGTTTGAACTGCCCTGAAGACAGTGAATAGTGTTGGATGGTGGGTTGTAGGGTTTTAAAGAACGATGAATGGGTACATTTCTGGGAGTATTGTGTCATCACAATCTGCTCACAATAAAAAAAAGAAAAATGCAGAATGGCCGATCATGTGAATGAATCAAATGGTGTGCAGACTTCATATCACCTTTGCTTTAGCTTTTTATTGAAGACAGCAGCTACAAAACTCAGTTTGTTGTGTTTTCTTTTCTTTCTTTACTTTTCATTTTCTTGTTTTTTTTAACAAAATAAACCAATGACAGTATTACAAATAATTCAAACGGATACATCATTCACAGGTCTACTATCAAATATACATTTATACAGAAAAACATCACATAGAAAAACAGAAGTCCATATGAGATCACAGTGGTAAGGACGGGGAAGAGAGGAGTCGAACAGACCCCTGTGATGTGTGTGGGACCAAAAAGTGTCCAGAAAATATATTTGAACGTCCTTTTTCACAGAGAAGAGAGGTTTTTGGGCCTCTCATGGTCAGGCAGACAGGAAGAGTGCAGTACAGGGGATAGGTACTTCATAAAGCTGAAATACTGGATTCTGAAAATTAGCAATAACCATCAGTCTGTAAAATACTGTGAAACTACTGTCTTCTTTCTCTTAATGTGCTGTAGTTCGGCATAATAAATTGTATAAATAGTGGCTACACAATACACAAGCCAACATTATGAACAACGCTTATTCCCTTTCTCTAGGGAAGTCAGATGAGAAGATGGCTATTAGTCCATAAAATAAAAAAACTATTGAACTCACTGATGGACATTTAGTGTCCTGTTTGATTGGTCTGTACACAGAAATGTAAAAACATCAATTTCTCAAGGTGTTACATTCTGGGACTACAGGATATTTTGACGATCAACAGCATGTCTCGCATTGTCACTGTGGGGTTGCCAGGTTGGGTATTGTTTTAGGTGCCATTAACAGTGTAAAATAAGTGAAATAGCCTGACCTACTGTATGCTGTGTTGCATTCTGTTCCTAACACACAGGTATGCTGTGTAGATCCATCAGAACATATACCTCCTACAGAGTGGTCTTTTCTCATCACGCTTGTGGTCAAATTGTGTAAAATGTGAATCTTTCTAACTTTTTCCAAAGGAATAATGAAAATTAAACCTGTTGCCAGAACCAGGCACATGTCAGCTCTATGTCAGTACTGAGATCTGCACAGCTCAAACAGGGGCCAGCATGTGGACGGAGCATAGCAGCACACACACACACACACACACACACACACACACACACACACACACACACACACACACACACACACACACGCACTAAACACTTACAAAAAAGGTTCTCTTAAAACTGTACATGTAGAGGTCATATTAAAGAGAGGCTGTTTCTGTGAATGACCCACACACACAGGTGAGACTCTAAACCCACTAAAAAAACAAACACAAATAGAAATCATATGAAGTGAAGGAACATTGTTATGAATTGTATAATTACCAGGTTTAGTTTCCAAAGCTCTTCACAGAATAATCCAGTTGTTTTTCTGTGAACATTTGACACTTCACATAATTGATTCCATATAACAATGTCAAAAACATTTTCTTTGACATCTTGATTGTTCAAAATTGAATATATATATATTTTTTAAATCATGAAGTTTTGTAATGTTGTGAAGTGCACCCCAGTTATGCACATGTCGATAGTAGACATTCATCCAGGCTGAAATGAGGGTCACACAATGGATCTCTTCTTCATATTCAGGGGTTTAGTGTTTGGTTTCTCTTAGACAAAAAGAGATACTTTGTGCCGATGGGTTTTTCTCATATTTTTCTTTCTGTCTTGTTTATTTTAAACACGGTAAATATTCCAGTTTGAATAGGATCATCTGAAAACACTGTAATGTTCCTAAAGCATGCCTATGTACAGTGCAGTACAGTGTCTTTGTGCGTCTGTTAAACATGAAGGGCCATTGTATGACAAAACATTGCAGACCAGTTTGAAAAAACTGACTGAACAACATTTATTAAATATCAATGTCAGTGCTTTCCTTCATCTCACTGTGCACCAGTATGTGACAATCAAAGGAGGGAGATCAAAGAGGTCAAAACACGTTAAAATGAACAATTATACAAATTCAAACCTGCATGGAATTGTTTTGTTTATTTAGCAAATCTTGAAGAACAACTAACTCCTGGAAGGTGAAGGTGTATTCCCTCCAGATTTGAGTGAAGCATTGAATCTTAACATCAACTGTGTGCTGTGAGGGAATTACGGGTTTGGAGGTTCTATTGGAAGCTATCACAAAATCAGAAGTGTTGTACCTCATACAAATTGAGGACATTCTGACCATTTACGAAAAAGACCAGGTTCAGAGGGTTTTCAGGTTAGGACTTGTGTAAGGTACATCAAAAATGAGTGCTTTGTGCTCGCACAGTAGAAGAAAAAGGTTTATCATGCTCAACGTCCTGATACCAAAAAGAATCACTCAGACAT